CCGTCCAAGCCCTGGGCGATTGCGCTTTCGGGTGATTCCTTGGACCCGCCAGATGAACCGCAGACCTGGGCTGGGCTGGGCTGGGTGCATAGGCCGTCCAGCCTCCATGGGGTTCCAAGCGGACCCAGAGCGAGCCGACGAGGGGAGAGGGCGGGAGAAAGCATGGCACAGTCTCGGGGTGGGGGTGGGGGGACGGGAACTGGGGTCTCTTGCTGCCAAGCGACCAGCCCACGCGAGGATAGCGCCCAGAGGTGCCCGGTCGCTGATCTGGCCCGACTGCACCGTACCCTTGACACCTCCCAGCATCCTGGCCCCGACTCATCTTTCTCAGCTCTAACACCCTGCCGTCCCCCATAGGCCTCTGGCTCCTCGCCATTTAGATATTCCACTGTTATGTTTCAAATAATTATTCCATTGATTTATGTTTGAGGATTACAAAAATAATATATGCCCACCATAGAAAAGAGAAAGAAAAGAATAAAGAACACCACTTGGAGATAAGCAATGTGAACATTTTGCTATATTTCTTCCAGCCTTTTTCTATAAATGTCAGTACACACATGTATATTTACAAAATTCTGAGTCTGCACTGCTGACTCGCTGCTGTTGTTGTTTTTTTCAATCCACTTTATATGAGTACTATGCCATCTGATTGAAAAAGGAAACCCAAGACAGTTTCAGAGACATGACTTGTCACGAGTTGTCAATGTTTTATTAGCCTTGAGCTTTCATTTGTGCAAGAAAATTGAAGCTGCCCATGTGAGAGTTTTGAATAGTTCCCTCACATTCCCTAACATAAACCCTCCCAGCACGCAGGGAGCAGCCCTCACTGGGAGGGTGCTTGGGCAGGGTACAGGTGCCTGAATAGAGGATTGTTTGGCATCACTCCCTTGTTTGTGTGTGTGTGTGTGTTTAATGTCTCCACTGAAGCTAAGAAGGGAGTGTTGGACAAAGGAGAGCACCAAATTCTGGTTGATGACAAACTTGTGAATATTTTCCTGGAACGCACTGAAAATTCAGTAGAGAAGAATGGAATGTCTCAAGTGCAAAGACAGTCACAAGGGGCAAGGTCTAGTGAGAAGCATCCAAATGAAGAACATATTCCTAATTCTGTGGATTCCTGTGTCCAAAAGGTGAGTATTGAAAGGAGGTAGGTGTGTATTTGCAACTTCCTCTCCAGTCACCATATATTTCATTATTGTCTCACAACCATTGGCTGAGCACTTACTATGAGCCAGGCACTATTTCAGGCACTGGGACCCAGAGAACAGCAAGTCTCTGCTGGGGGGCTACATAAAAGAACAATAAGCAAGTAAATCAAATAAAGAAGACAAAGGAGGTCTTGCTACTTCTGACCAGGAGTCAGAGACAGAGTCTCTGAGGTGACATTTCGGCTGAGACTTGAATGCGAAGGAGCTAGCCATGCCAAGACTCATTTGACAAATCAATATCAACTGCCTACTGTGTACCAGGCACTGTCACAGATGCTGGGGACACAGCCAGCTACATAGCAGACCCTGCCCTCAAGGACCTTACATTCTAGTGAGGGATACAGATCCTATAGTACACAAATCTTCCTATATAATAAAAGGCTAATATGCAAATTGTCCCCTTGGAAGGTTGACTGCCTGCTATGATATGTTCTGACCACCAGGGGGCAGTGCGGAACGAACCAAGGCCCCAGCAAGCAGCCAGAAGGCCCCGATCAGGCCTGATCGCCAGGCAGGCTTGGGGACCCTACCCGTGCTCGAATTTCATGCACCAGGCCTCTAGTTGATTTATAATAAAACTAGAGGCCCGGTGCATGAAATTCATGCGGGGGGGGGGGGGGGGGTGTTCCCTCAGCCCAGACTGCGAAATCTGGGACCCCTTGGGTAGTGTCCCTAGGCCTGGCCAGTGATCAGGGCCTTTGGGGCTTTCCTTCCCCTGGCTGCTGGCAGCTGGCCTCGCCCCTGCTGCTGCCACTGCTTGCCATTTGTGCAGTGCTGCCTCCTCTCTCGCCCACCACCAGTTGCCACCCTCTTCAGGAGACAGGCATGGAGTGCGATTGCTTGGCTGGCCTGGGCCTCCCTCTGTGGGGCCCCCAGATTGCGGTGCTCCCAGATTGATCTCCCTGCAGAGGGAAGCCCTGCCCACCCAACACAGTGCCGCCAGTCGGGTAACCTGGGCCTCCCTCTTTGGGGTGATCGCAGAGCTCCCCCACCCCCCAAATTGATCACCTTGCCTGGGCCTCCCCCTGCAGGGTGATCATGGGGTGATGGTGGGGCCCCCAGACTAATCGCATCGCACCCACCTTGGCTGGCCTGGTGCCAGTATGTGTCATTGCGGTTGTCCTGATGGTTGGCTGTTCTGTCGTTCGGTCGATTTGCATATTATGCTTTTATTATTATAGATGTCTGACAGTGATAAGTGCTAGGAAGAAGAATAAAGCAGGGTAAATGACAGTGACAAGACCATTACTTTGGGATATCTGGAAAAACATCTTGAATGAGGCAACATCTGAGTAGAGACATGCATGAAGTAAGGGAGCTAGCTAAGTGGATATTGGGGGGAAGAATGTTCTAAGAGGGGAGCACAAGAACAAAGGCCTCAAAATGGGAGCTTATATCCTGAGCCCCAAAGCTTCAAGAAGGAAGGCTAGTGGGCTAGAGGGCAGTGAACAAGGGAGAGAGTAACTTCTGGTCACTTGGAGAGGTAACCAGAAGTCAGATTTTTGGGGATGAAAGTAAGGACTTTGGACTTTCACTTAAATGTTAGGGGATTCATCATATGGTTTTGAGCCAGGGGAGTGGAGTGGTCTGATTTATGTCTCTAAAGCACTGGTTCTCAACCTGTGGGTCATGACCCCTTTGGGGGTCAAAGGACCCTATCACAAGGGTCACCTAAGACCATCGGAAAACACATATGTAATTACATATTGTTTTTTGTGATTAATCACTATGCTTTAATTATGTTCAATTTATAACAATGAAAATACATCCTGCACATCAGATATTTACATTACGATTCATAACAGTAGCAAAATTACAGTTATGAAGTAGCAACGAAAATAACTTTATGATTGGGGGTCACCACGGCATGAGGAACTGTATTAAAAGGTTGAGGCATTAGGAAGGTTGAGAACCACTGCTCTAAAGGATCATTTTGGCTGCTGTGTGGATAACTGATTTTATTTTATTTTATTTTATTTTTTTTATTGCTTAAATTATTACAAAGAGTATTACATATGTCTCCTTTTTTTTTTTCCCCCCGCCCTTGACAATCCCCTGGCTTCCCCTACCCCCCAGTGTCTTATGTCCATTGGTTATGCTCATATGCATGCATACAAGTCCTTCGTTTGATCTCTTAGCCCCCTCCCTCCTGCCCCCCAACCCTCCCCGGCCTTCCCGCTGCAGTTTGACAATCTGTGTGAGGCAGCTCTGCCTCTGTTCTATTATTGTTCAAAAGTTTATAATGGTCTCTATTATCCATGAATGAGTGAGATCATGTGGTATTTTTCCTTCATTGACTGGCTTATTTCACTTAGCATAATACTCTCCAGCTCCATCCATGCCGTTGCAAATGGTAAGAGCTCCTTCTTTTTTACAGCAGCATAGTATTCCATCGTGTAGATGTACCACAGTTTTCTAATCCATTCATCTACTGATGGGCATTTAGGCTGTTTCCAGATCTTAGCTATGGTGAATTGTGCTGCTATGAACATATGGGTGCATATATCCTTTCTGATTGGTGTTTCTGGTTTCTTGGGATATATTCCTAGAAGTGGGATCACAGGGTCAAATGGGATTTCCATTTTTAGTTTTTTGAGGAAACTCCATACTTGTATTCACTTTTTAAAAAATTATATATTTTTTGTTGATTTCAGAGAGAAGAGAGAGGAAGAGAGAGAGAAACATCAATGATGAGAGAGAATCATTGATCGGCTGCCTCTTGCACTTGGGCCTGCAACCTGGGCATCAAACCGTGATAATCCTGACCGGGAATCA